GCTTTTTAGAGTAGATATGGTTACTAGATCAAGGTCTAGCAAGATTTCCCAATCTAAAATTTTTTAATGATTAATACGATTACATGGAATGTGAAGGGGGCAAATCAGGAGGCTTCTAGGACGAGGCTCAAGAAGTTAGTGAAGATGCATGGCATTTCTTTAGTCTGTCTTTTAGAGCCAAAGTTACTTCCTTCTAAAATGCATGGCTTATGTAATAATCTGAGGTTTTCATCATATTTAGCTAATCCATTAGCTGAAAAATACATATGGGTGATTTGGGATCACAGAGTGAAGGTTTCATTAAAATATGCTCATGAACAAGTTTTAACGGTGGAGGTATCATACATGGGTTCAGTGCCTTTTCTTTTCTCCTTTGTCTATGCTAAATGTGAGCATATACAGAGAAGAGAATTATGGACTCATTTGTCTGGGCTACCAGTTTCTAATGCTCCTTGGATGGTGGTTGGTGATTTTAATACAATCGTCTCTTCAACAGAAAGGAAAGGTGGTGTTGTTCCAAGTTTGTCAATTATGAGTGAGTTTACTGGTTTTATAAGCTCTATGGGTTTGCAAGATTGTGGGTATGTAGGATCTACTTTTACATGGTGCAATAACCATCAAGGTAGATCACGAATGTGGCAGAGACTGGATAGGGCTTTGGTGAGTATGGAATGGAGGAGTAGATTTGTAAGTACTGTGGTTGAACATGCTGGCATAGTGAAGTCTGACCATTGCCCTTTAATTACCAAATTTTCGGAGATAGATTCTCAAGCAAGGATTTCTTATTTCAAATTTCAAAACATGTGGATTGAACATCCTAGATTTATGAAGTTAGTAGAGTTTTATTGGCCTGCAAATTATTCATCTAACCCTATTGAGAACCTCTCTTTGAAACTTAGAACTTTGAAGTTTCAGTTAATAAGATGGGAATAAGGATACTTTTGGTAATGTTTTTGAGAATATTAAGCGGTTGGAGAGGAGTCTGGTCCAGGATGAATTGCAGGTGGAAAGGTCGGATACAGAGGCAAATTATATGGCTTTGCTGGAAGTGAGGAAATAACTGGAACACGCTTTGAGAATGGAGGAGATATTTTGGAAGCATAGAGCTAATGTGAAATGGGCAATGGAGGGAGAACGAAATACTAAATTCTATCATACTATGGCTAAAGGTAAAACAACGAGGAATAGAGTTTCTAGAATTAAAGATTCAAATGATATTTGGCTGGAGGATGATCAAACAATTGCGGACTATGCTGTGAGTTACTACTCAGCTCTATATTCTACTGAAACCCATGTTATGGAGGAGGAGTTGTTTAACGTTATCCCCAAGATAGTGACTGATGAAGACAATGCTTCTTTAATGTCAAATGTTACGTTGGAGGAGCTTAAGGAGACTGTTTTTGCGATGTCCATTCATAGTGCTCCGGGACTAAATGGCTTTTCGGGTCAATTTGTTAAGACTGCATGGGAGGTAATTAAGATGGATTTATTATCTGCTGCCAATTTTTTCATTCAAGGGGGAGTTATTCCCAGATCAGTGAATGCTACATTGTTATCCCTTATACCAAAGAAGGAAAATCCTGTTTCTTTTGATGAATTTCGACCGATAAGTTTATGTAATTTTGTGTATAAGGTATTCACTAAAATCCTAGCTACTAGACTTGGGGAAATTCTTCCTAAACTTATTTTAGAAGAGCAGCAAGGATTTGTCAAAGGAAGGAATATTGCACATATACACACATATAGTTATACACACACATAATTACACACAGTTTAATATCACACACACACACACTGCCCATTGCACACATACACACGCCTTTCATTGTTTTTTTTTTCAATATTTTTTGATTATTTATTAGTNGAATTTGTCAAAGGAAGGAATATTGCACATATACACACATATAGTTACACACACATAATTACACACAGTTTAATATCACACACACACACTGCCCATTGCACACATACACACGCCTTTCATTGTTTTTTTTTTTTCAATATTTTTTGATTATTTATTAGTTATTGAAAAAAAAAATTATTATTAAGTTATTGTGATCAAATTTTTATGATCANTTCAATATTTTTTGATTATTTATTAGTTATTGAAAAAAAAAATTTTATTATTAAGTTATTGTGATCAAATTTTTATGATCAATTTGCATGAACAAATTGCAAGAAAACTAAATTCTTGATTTGTAACATAGTTGTAATTTTTAACATTTATAACAATTGACAGTTTTAAGTGATAAATTTAACTTCAATTAATTTTATTATCATGTTTATTAAATATAGGCTACAATATGATAATAGTGATTATGATTTATTTTATGAATTAAACAAATATCATATATTGTAATTTTTTATAAGATAAAAGCATATTTTCAAATTAAAGAGTGAAAGGGTAAAATTGAATATTAATTTATTTTCAAACGTCAACTATGTGTAATTATNTCAAATTAAAGAGTGAAAGGGTAAAATTGAATATTAATTTATTTTCAAACGTCAACTATGTGTAATTATCAAACAGCTTGGTTCAATTCAGTACTTAAATTTCAATGAGTACCAAACAATCCACTAATTCAGATTTTAACTTTCAATTTTCAGACTTTTCCTTTCAATTTTATCAAACACCACCTTAATTCACCACTTAATTGTGAAAAAATACTCAGTACAAAATATTTTGTATAGAAGTACTCTTTTTTTTGAATGACAAAAATGCCCCCAATGTTACAATTACCTAGTGCAAAGAGTGGATAAGAAAACCGTCAGAAGTCATGCAACAATCCTATTAAAATTCAGTTGAATCGTTCGCCTGTGAAGTGAAGAAACAGAACAGACGTTGAAACTCTATTGCAAATCGATATTCCTTCTCTTCTAATTCAAATTGCTGATAATATGACATTATAGTGATACATGACAATGTAACACTTTCATTAACGCTTTAATTACTAACAAAAAAATGTACAATTACATTCACTAATTCATACACAATCTAAATGGTATGCATCATATAATATGACATCATAAATGTGACATTCATATATATTATTTTTAATGAATGACAGTGTTACACGACATTGTAATATTGCAAGATGACATGTTAAATTTGCGAACAATTAGTGTCGTTTAACATTAAAAAGAAATATTAAAAAAATAAATTTCAATATAGATTTATATTATAATCGAAAATATGAACCTAAATCTAATGTTGTTATTCAATGTCTGATGTCAAGGATCCATTGGAGATGTTCTTGAACAATGCTTGTAACAATATCTTAATTTAATTTATTTATTGGAAAAGATGAAGATCATACATTGATTCAAAATGATGACATTTTTGCCAAATGAAAAACTCGGTTGTGACTTAAACGTTGAAAATGAATGTGTAGTTTAGAATATCCAACGATGAAAAATGAAAAAGACGATGTAGTTTAAAATTCAAATTCACTGTCCCATTAAAATAAGAAACTCTTAATATAATAAACCAAATCTCATAAATAAAAATGAGATTACCAATCTTTCCAATAAATATGAAAAAAATGTATTTTAGTAAAGCAAAATCTGAAAATCTGCCAAAATGTAACCCAAGTCAAGAATACTTATTTACAAAAGATTTTAGTCAATGTATTTTCTCACAATTAAGTAATTTAGAACGTACCTCATCACAATTTTCCGAAAAGTCAATGCCAAACAAGACCACTGTTCATATCATATTAATACAAACAATAGAATCTATTTTACTTTCCGGAAAAAAAAAATTCCCAACAGACTAAAAAAATTGTGAACAAGAATCGGCAAAATTTGGTTTCAGTAAGGGTATGCACAGAGGTTAGCCCAACTACAGCGGACTATCTAGCGGCAAGGTGATGATGACTTACAACAACCTCCTATACTCAGTGCTTCACTATCAATAATTCATCGCCATAGCCCCGTAAGATTGTAATTCTGTCTTGTAAGGTAACTAAGAATAACCCGTGTCTAAAAATACGGTATAATATTAATAATTTTGAGAACGATTTTAATAACCGTTAGATAAATCTATTTGAAACCGTCAGATAAACTTACCGAATTGAAGACTATAGTTCATCATCAACCACTATATGGTTATAGCCTAGATCACATAAAGCGAGGCAAGGGCAGAAGTGGTAGCACAAAAAGGCAAAATCCAAAAAAATATTAGGANGATCACATAAAGCGAGGCAAGGGCAGAAGTGGTAGCACAAAAAGGCAAAATCCAAAAAAATATTAGGAATTGGAACAACTTTAAAGCGTTATATTATATCCATCAAGACAAACATTTACCCATTAAAAGGTAATAAAAATAAATATAAAAAATTAAATTTCATACACAACTACTTGACAAACTATTTAATTTTTAAATATATATTGATTATAAAGTTCTAAAATAGCAATTATAAGTTACAAATATCATTCAAATTTGATATGTATCTTTATACATTGGTTAATACTTTTCAAATAACATCAGGAAGTGAAAGCCTAACAAAACTACGTTCTTCTGTCCTCTCTTTTCCTGTTACAAGTGATCGATGTGCAGGCGAAAAACTTCACAGAATGTTGCCAGCATGTACTGATTAAAGCAAGCAGCAAAACACAAAGAGAAGGTCCATTGGTATTAGAAATTTCAAGTATACAACACTTCCCAAGATTGTCCAGAATCATATACAACACAAGTTCCACATCAGACTGATCGACCAGAGACAGAAACCACCCAGAAAACGCTTTGTAGCAGTTTGGACTTCCTCTAACTTGATTCTGATGGAAGAGCACCACTTGTGCTGGTAGAATTTTTATCAACATTCTGAATGTGCCTTTATAGTGGAGTTGGAAAATGTAGAAGAAAATGATAAATGCGGATACAGCTATATGCAGATACAACTATACGTGATGTAGAAGCACCCTATTCCAAACTTTACGCTGCCTCTACCACCAATTATTTTAAAAAAGACCAAACCCAGCATATAATTTTACCTTACAAACTAGGACAATCCCACCTGCCTTTCCCATCTAAGATCCTCGGAGAATTCTGTGAGTGCAGCTCGAGGGTCACCATTTGATACAGACAGGTAGTATTGAGCAGTTCCATCATCGACCTGCATGCTTTTCTTCAAGGAGTCAACTAGCCTTCTCTTGCCACGGTCAGAAGTCACCCTATTCAATAAACAGTTGAGCTTTCTATCAGGGCCACCATCGAGATAGAGTACTGCCACTTCCCTTTTGGCGTAGATATCCAATTCTATGTAGCATGTAACATTGATGAGAAGATCTGGTTTGCTTACAGGGATCAGCAACCTCTCCCTTGAGTGTAACCCGTGGTCACTCATCATGTTATTCATTCGTTTTATGTCTGTCACCTACAAATAAGAGCTAGAAAAAAATTACAGAACCAAGCTAAACCATTAACGTTAAAAGGGAAAAAATAGGAAGAAAAAAAGAAAGTATACAGAATCAACAAGGAACCAAAGAGTCTCAACAAATGCCACAAAGAGGCAGGCCTGTGATGGTAACACATTCCAGTAGTTATAATAAGTCCATGCATGCAAACAAGTTGTTCTACTATTTTCCGCATAAACCTACCAAAAAAGCTTGCTTGCACACCAACTCGTGGGCATGCTGTAAACTTTTTCATTTGATGTAGATGTACTCATGAACATACGCAGATCTGCTGTACAAAGTATGAGCACGGTACTAACTAGTGACACAATAGTAGCACTATATTCAATAGTTCAACACAAAGCAAGTTCTAGCTCCCAAAAGATTATATTACTAAGGTGTTGTTTAATAAAATTGAAAATTAAATGTTGAATATTACGTGCTGAATGCTGAATTTTTTATATTAAAATTTTTTGGTATGTATTGGAATTTACGAACTGAGTTGAATTAAACTGTTTGATTAGAAGAAAAAGCTGAAAACTAAAAATTGTTGATTTTCTTATTTTGCTCTTCCCCTCCACCACAATATTGCCACTATTCAATCCCACCACCACTAACACCGCCGCCACCTAGTGGGCAATCGAGTCATCTCGTATCATTTTCATGATTGAATTTATATAGAGTACTAATCAATTATAATTTAATTAATTAATTATTTCAGATGTCTCAACATAACGTGATCTCTAATTGGGTCATGTTCAAGTTGACTCGTATAACCTACGAACCAAAAATTCAACCCTAGAACTCTTTGTTTTTCCCCCAACCAACCCACCACTGTCACCCCCACCCGCACACATCCACCA